GAACACTGCTCATCAAACACACTGCAGTGGTCCCACATTGAAACCTCTCTAGCAGGTGCACTGATTAGAACTTAACTACTATTCTCAAGTACCTATCCATGTGCTTTCTCTACTGTAGCTCGATACCTTAATAATTATCATTATTCAAATAATTTATAGCATTAAAAATTCACAGTCTATCTTCTGATTACTGAAAAATTATATACTCATGTGAAAGTAGCCTAATTTTACTATGCCGAAGATTTTTTCAAGTAGTACAAAAGTATTTAACATGCTGAGTTTGCTTATTTCTCCTGAAAGTAACTTAGTAAACTTCATGAGAAATTATTGGGATTTTTCTACATGAAAGTTCCAGTCTACATGTTTGTTCCAGTCTATAGCTGAGTCCAAAGACCCAGACTTATTGCATTTCCTTGCATTTAAAAATTCCTCTAGTTGCTGTGTTGAAAATGAGGTTTACATAGCGGCATGTTCAAGAACTATTCATCAGCTTTTGTTCATGAGAAACTCATATCGGTTCATACAAAGGAAACCAGCTAGAGACATTTAACCACAAACCAAGTTACCAGGATTGTATATATTATTAAAATAAATAAGTTGTAAACTAAACAATAGCATTCCAGTTATGCAACAGTGATACTGTAATTGGTTAGATGAATTCACTGTTAATCTGAAATTTAGTTGAGAATATCATGTAATCTAATCTCTCCCTAGTGATACCATATTTCAGTAGAAAAAAATGGCTTCATTTTGATCACTTGAATCACAGCAAATAGAAAATCCCTCAAAATGATAAATCTTCTTGCTCTTTTAAATTACCTACCATCTTTAGTGGAAAAGTATTTAATACATATCAACTCATATTTTCCTTCATTATTACCATGCATTTCTTCTCAATCACATATCTGTAAAGTTAAAACTCCCTTCCAAATTGATATCAGTCTTGGAATTCATGGGTATCTCAAAGCCTCCACTTTGCCTAATGTTAATTGAGAAAGTAGGTGTTTACACTGATCTCCTAATGTTAAAGCACAAGCTATGATTGCAGCAATAAACACAGAGTGTCTCTGTATTCATTTCTCAGTCAAAAAAATCTTATCACTTAGTTTCATTTATTTTTAGTGTAGAGCGAGTTTCCAAGTTAGAATGCTCATTAATATTTAATACCCTATGGAAATATATTTGTTTATGATGATCGTGCATTTCCATTTTCATTGTTGCAAAAAGTTAACCAGTTTATGGCATGAGATATTATTTATGTTTCCATATTTGGGTTGTCAGAAATTCTCCCAATCAGACATAATCATAAACACCTTGATTTCACAATTATCTCATTTGTTCTGAGTAGTAGCAAGGGACAGGAGTTATAATTCTTCACACACTACTGTAGCCTAAAATTGGTAGATTCCCTAAGGTCCATTGCAGAGGAATTAATCCTAGTTTCCACTTCCTAAAAAAAAAAAAAAATACTAGATTCTTCTGACAAGTGTTAAATTGCCTCACATTCATATCAGTAGGAATCCTTTCACATCTTACCCACAAACAAAAATAATGATAGTAATATTAAGAACACCTCACCGGTTTTCATTGAGATATTTCATATAGTATTTGTCATTAGGGAA